AAGTTTCCCCCTTGATCCAAGGGACTAAAGTAAGATTGATACAATCGGTATTATCAAACAATCCACATGGCAGCAGTGTAGACAGGAAGTAGAAAAAAACAAATCTGGGGGTCAAGTGGCCAGTCCAGGGAGGGCTATGAAACCCTAAAATATGTGGGGGTGGTCCTGGGGACATGGGTGGGTGTGAGAATGGCTGGGCAGTCTGAATGAGCTATTCCAAAGGCAATCTCAGCCAGGGCTAAACGGAGACAGCATTTCAATCCTGTTACATGAGATACAGAAGGTATAACAGATTTACTTATAAAGCATCACTGATAATAAGAAAAGATTAAATACCATCAATGGGCAAACAGAAGTTAGTAAAAGCCAAAATGACTGTAAAGATAAACTGATAAAATTTTGAGCCAAGCGCTGCAAAACTTTATTTACCTGAGCCTTAAACATATCCACTTCCATTTTCGCTCTGAATATAATACACACTGAGTGAAAGGAAGGAAGGGCTCTGATGCTACTTCTTCTGATGAACCAGCGAGTTCTCACCTGCTAATACACTGATTTCAGGCACTCTAAGTAGAGGCTAATTGTCTCAACCATAAATTGCCATAGGGAACAAAAAAAAAAAAACACCAAAACCCCAAACCAAAACCTAGACACATAAGTGGGAGAGAACAAAAGTACTCTCTAAAGACTTTGGTTAACTTAAATGAGTCATTTCTTCTTCCTAAACTGAAAAGGGAGGTTTCCTCCAGACTATAAAATTCAGTAGTTCGTGGAATTAACTGTCAATAACTTGCCTCATTTGAACTGGATGTCAGCACAGCCTACTAGCAGAGGTCAGGTCACCTGAGGGTGGTTCTATCAGACAAAGGACCTTGGAGCTACACAGACAGGGATCTACCTAACATCTGAGATCATCATCTCTCACTGAGTCCTAGTCTTTCCCATCTGTAAAATGGGAGCGGTATACCCTTCTGGCAGTTTGCCCAAACCAACAAAGCCCATTGGTGTCTCGGCAATTCTGCCTCCGTGAACCCTTTACTGCCAGCTGAGGCTGTAGACCTTAAGGGGAGCAGATGGCGTCACTTTTCTCCTGCAGACTGTCTAGTGGGTTTGTATTGGTGACCCTTCCACCAGCAGTGCCACACTTAACCTCTGAGGCCATGAGGGCGCTCAGGTTGGCTGCAGAGAGAAAAATGAAATCAGATGTGTCCTTGCCCTCCTGTGAGTCCTGGCACTCAGATACCACGTATCTTAGGGTTGACTATGACTCTTATCAACCAATATCCTGTGTCATTCTCATGACCTCATATGATCTCCTATGATCAAACTCCTCGCTGGAGTCACAGTGCCAAACCATTTTGTTGAGGGGCCTCTCCTTTTTCACTGACCCTTTACTTTTCTCAGCCTGGTGTCTCTTTCCAAGGACTGACGGCATGCTCAAAGTATGAGGGGCAGTTTCATCATCCCTGCCTTGAAGGAACATCTCAGCTATACTTCTCCAAGATAGATTTGTGTGTTCGGACCCCCAGAAGGCCCTCAAAAAAGTGCTAGTAGGAGGGGAGAGGGAAGAATGAGGGAGAAAATGTGCAATAATGAGTAAATTTTTTAAGTGCTAGTTATTATCATGCTTTTGTTACGGGATCACCAATATGCACTTACCTAAAGAAACAACAGCAACGCTCTCTGGCAGGAAATGTAATCTATATCGGATCAGTAAATGCACCAGTATAATGCAGATAGCTGTGGGAAAGAATACGACATGGTTAAGAAGGACCTAGTCTAAGTGCTAAACACCACACTCAAGGGAGCAGATTCTTCTGGGGGCTTCTAGGAGGAGGGAAATGTAAATCAACAAGGGCAGAAGGAATTTTTTTTTATTTTATTATTTTGTATGTGTGAACCGTCAAATTGGATCTGACTGGTACCGGAGGAGATTGTCCCTCCTTCTCCAGCAGAGCATCTGGTGGATTTGAACTGCACACCTCTGGGATTGTAGTGCAGCTTTTTGCCACTAGGTCACCAGAGGGAATTTTTATTATCTTCTTTCTTGAACTGGAGTAGACGCACAAGGGTTTATTATACTTTTTCTACACTTCTGTGTATCCTTAAAGCAGCTTATTAAAATATGAGACTTGTCACTTTTTAGTGTTTATTGAAAAAAGCAAAAACCTAGTTTGTTTCCTTGTAATGAGGCATAAAACTCATGATAACTTGAAAAAATATTCAAATTTTCCTGATTCCGAGAAATGCACCTCAATTTTTCTGAAGAAATCTTCAACTGAAAAAATGGGAGTGATGAAGAGGAAGTCAAAGAAATGTACTATTAAAAAACCACACCACAGCAGGGTATGCTGACCCAAAACCGGCTCTCTTTTAAACACAGAAGGAAGCGAGAGTGCTTAACAAACAGGAAAACGTAAATTCTTTGGTTTGGTGGCAACATTAAACAGACTTAATGCTGAGATACCTGCTCCCTAGCCCTGACCACTGTACTCCACGGTTCCCACTGGTGGAAGGCTTGACGTGAGCAAGGCACTGTGTGGAAGACTTGTAAACACTGTCCCATTTAACCCCTCAACATCCTTGTCAACTGTTAAAACTATTATTCCTTAACCATTATTCCGACTACTACCACAAATTTAACTGTGTCTCTTCTCAAATGTATGTCAATTTGACTAGGTCATAATTCTCAGTGGCTTAGGAATATGTAGTGACACAATCTGGAAGTTATGCAATGATGTAATCATCCCCATGCTGTAATCTGAGATGTGATCAGCCAACAGGTTATCAGGGGATTTAGGCTGGGATTCAACATCCTTACTCAGGTCAGGGCCCTGACTCAATGTAAGGGAAGTTTTGGGAGTGTAGTTTGTATCACCTTCTATCTTACAAGAGATAAAAGAGAAGCCAAGAAAAGAGAGAAGAAATTTAATATCACTAAGAAAGAAGAGCCAGGAGTGGAGTGCAGCCTTGGACCTGGGGGGGTCTCTGCCCTGAGAGCCTCTTAGACCCAAGGAAGACGGAAGCCAAGACATAGAGAAATCTTCAAGGCATGCTGGGGCCATAAATGCTGAAAGAGACAAAGACCTTTCTTCTAACCTGGGTGCTAACAGAGAGAAAGCCTCCCCCCTACAGTTGGCTTTCTGCATTTAGACTTCTGGCTTCCTAAACTGGGAGAGATTAAATTTATTTGTTAGCCATCCCACTCACTGCCATCGAGTCAATTCTGACTCGAACTGACCCTGTGAGAACAGAGCAGAACTTCCCTGCAGGCTTTCAAAGGCTGTGTGTCTTTCCAGAACCTGACTGTCACATCTTTCTCTTGCAGAGCAGCTACTAGTTCTGAACTGCCAAAATTCTGGTTAGCGGTCAGCCTACTAACAACTGTCCCCCCTGGGCTCCTTCAAAGCCATTCACTTGTGGCACTTCTTTTACAGTAGCACTAGAGAACTAGGACAACTATAGATTAGGAAACTCTAGCTTAAAGAGGTCACATCAGTAAAGCTCAGAAGGCAGGAAGAGACTGAAAAGGACTAATGGAAACAGGAAACACAAGGAGGAAGTGGGAAGTGTGTTGTTATAACCTGGGAGTATAATCAATGTCATAAATCATCTTGTGCCTGAACTGCTGAGTGGACAATGAAATTGTTTTGTAAACTTTCACTCAAATCACAAAAAAAGGAAAGAAAGAGGTCACATCACTAGTAGGTGCTGCAGAGTGAGATAATCTCAACTGAGGTCTTCAGCACCATGTATTACCTTCCTTCCTTCCCTCCATCCCTCCCAGCTGTCTGCCATCCTTGCATTTCTCAATCTCCAAACTAAGAGTAGTATCGTTTCCTCACAGGGTTGCTACTATGAAAGGAAGGAAAAAGAAATGAAAGAGAGAGAGTAAAAGGATGCAATCCTATTTCAAAACAAACTAAACACTTCTGTGAGGGAGGAAAACGGGCCTTTATATATATTACAGTGCATGTCAGTTCAATTCAAGCCATAATCTTTTCAATCACTTGAGAGCTGGACAATGAGTAAGGCTGACAGAAGAACTGATACCTTTGAACTGTGGTTGGAGAAGAGTAGTGAACATTCCCTGGACTGCCAAAAGAACAAACAGATCTGTCTTGGACAAAGTACAGCCAGAGCGCTCGATGGAGGCAAGGATGACAAAGCTTCGTCTCACATACTGTGGGCATGTTGCTAGGAGAGGTTGTTCCGTGGAAAGGAACACCATGCTTGGAAAGGTGGAAGGTCAGAGAAAGAGAGGAAGACCCCCAACCAGACAGACTGACACTGCTGCAATGGACTCCAAGTATGTCAGAAATGATGAGGGCACACAGGTTACAACAGAGTTCAGATCTGTTTGTTCATGGGGTCGCTATGAGTCATACTCAACTCAACAGCAACATGTATGTCATTCCTGCAAGTGGTTTCATGGGCCAAATGTCAGTACACATACCTACAAAGCCTATCATCTTGCTAAGCACAGTACTTTTACTAATAAGTAATAAAACAAAACGTTTTGTTGTTTTTTTCAAAAGGGAAATGTTTAAACAACTTGCATAGGAGTTCCCCAGCCATTCTCAGTGCCCACTGACAAATCAGATTTCTTCAGAACCACCAAAAAGTACCAGGTGGCCAGAGGAAGAACAGTTACAAATATAGAAATTCTATCCTCTTTTCATATTGTGCTTTAAGCCATCAACCTGTGGTGCTATTTTAAGTCTTTAACCCTGTTAGGAAAATCCAACATTAAATATGCAGAGCAAGAAAAAGTACCACAGGCTAAGCCCAACAGGGAAACAAAGATCATGCTTACTGTCTGCAGGGGATGGCAGGCAGATTAGCACTTAAATCAGATAAGCACTTTAAAAACAGATATGTCTTAGAGAAAGTACAGCCAGAGTGCTCCCTGGAGGCAAAGATGACAAAGCTTCATCTCACATACTTGCGGCATGTTGTTAGAAGGGGCTATTCCTGGGAGAGGGACATCATGCTTGAAGAGCTGGAGGGCTGACGAAAGAGAGAGAGACATTCACCAGATGGATCGACACAGTGATTGCTGCAATGGGCTTGAGAAAGTCAGAAATTATGAGAAGTTTAAAATAATATTCATTCCCATACTCAAAACAAGCAACTCTTCTTAGCTTTATGGATGAAAGGGAAAATTGTCTATCAGGCAACAAGAACTATGAAAAGATCCACTGCTGTTGAATCTAATCAGGCTCAGTGACCCTACAGTAGGGCAGAGAATTGTCTCTTTAGGACTCTGAGACTGTAACTCTTTATCAAAGTGGATGGCTTTATTTTTCTCCCTCCAAGGAGGTGGCAGGTTCAAACTGACAATCTTCGGTCAGCTAGAAGCGTGATGCTTAACCTACTGCACCACCAGAATCAACTCAAACTAAAAAAAGACAAAACAAATGCTCACCACTGTCTAATAAAAAAACTCCACTTCACTGACTCAGTTCTGACGCGCTGTGACCCTCCACTGGGTTTCCAGAACTGTGAACGGCCACAGGGAGAGACTGCCTGTCCTTTCACACTGTCACCAGTGAAAATGCACAGCCTTTGCCTTAGCAGGGTAACTCACTACAGAACACAGAGCTAAAGATCAGATTCACCAGCACCAGGTTACGGTCTTAAGACACTAAACAGAATGCACACCCATGTTTATCGCGGCTTTGTTCACAATAGCAAGGAGTTGGAAACAACCTAAGTGCCCATCAACAAACGAGTGGATAGAGAAGCTGTGGTATACTCACACAATGGAATACTATGCAGCACTGAAAAACAAGGAACTCATGCAGTATTATTCAAAATGGGTGACCCTGGAGGACATTATGCTGAGTGAAGTATCTCAGTCACAAAAGGACAAATAGTGCATGATGCCACTGTTGTAAAACAGGACTGACCTTGGGGTTGGGGAGAGACTGAGAAAGATGGGTTCAATAATGTATACTGCACTGCAACAGATGAGGAAGAAAACTGTTTAAAAGGGGGTATGTGATTAGGTATTTCTGTCATGACAGGAGTCTAGAGCGAAGGCTACATGGTGGAGTAGACCTGGGGGAGGCTTTGTAAAACAATGAAAGAATTTGTCTCTTACTTTTTCTTCTTTTTTTTAAAATTTTATTTTATTATTGTTTTGTATGTCTGTGTACCGTCAAATCGGATCTGACTGGTACAGGAGGAGATTGTCCCTCCTTTCCTGTCAGAGCATCTGGTGGATTCGAACCATGCACCTCTGGGATTGCAGTGCAGCTTCTTGCCACTAGGCCACCAGAGCTCCCCTTGTCTCTTACTTTTTCAAGAGGGTAGAGTACTAGGGGGGAGGGTTGGGAGGGGAGAAAAGTGCAACAATGAATGAACGGAAATCCAAAGTCTCTGTAAGTTTTTACTGAAATTAATAATAAATTTAAACAAAAAGACACTAAACAGAAAGAGACACAAAAAAACACTAACACAGAAAGATCTGCATGGTATTAGGTGAGGCAGTAAAAAGCAAGTCATACCATTTTAGGTTAAAAAAGGCCAAACTACATGTACCTGCACAAGGTAAAGGTATGAAGGCACACAGAAAACACTCATTTTCATGTATACTTGGGGGGAAAAGAAACAAAAGAAAAAGAAGAGTGAAAAGGTTCCGTGTGGAAGGCAGAGTTTTATCACAGGTTATTAAGCTTTCAATTTTTCATGCCTGAAGTCATCATTATGGAGACAATATTAAAACAAAGATAAACTTTAATCACCCCATTAAGCTTAACGGCTCATTAAAAGATGCTAATTGTTAAATCCTGAGTAAGTCAACATCAGTGACTCACTTGTGGAGACCAAGATCCGTAAGAGTGAAATGAAGCCAAGCTAATAAAAGCGACAAAGGTTAACTTGAGCTGGTGCACCCCGCTACAAAAGCTGGATGCACATGTAACCCTCTCAGAGTGTGGGCCACAAAAATGCACGATTTCACTGGACTGAACGCCAAGTGAACCAACATAAACGACCAGTGGCCACCAGGTCGAGAGTTTCTGGGAAGCAGAAGAAACACAGACTAATTCCCCCTTCATTCACAACAGGTATTTAGAGAGTTAACTAATTATTAACAAGAATCTTTTTTTTTTTTAACTCTCAGGTTTTTATTACAGGGTCACCTAATCAGGAATAAATGATGGAATAAAGAAGGTGGGTGAGAAGCTTTCAAGTTTACCTACATTGGGGAGCTCTGGTGGCCTAGTGGTAAGGAGCTGCAACTACAATCCCAGAGGCTCACGGTTCGAAGCCACCAGATGCTCTGCCGAGGAAGGAGGGACAATCTCCTCCTGTACCAGTCAGATCTGATTTGACGGTACACTCACACAAAAACAATAAAATAAAATTTAAAAAAAAAAAAAGTGTACCTACATTAAAAAAATAATAAATAGAAAATTAGAAGTCATCATTCCCCTCTGCTAATGTCTTCTGACTGACACAGAACGTTGAGATATCAAGTCATAAACTTCCAATAAGCTGAGCAGATGAAAGCAGAAGCCGCCTGGCATTAGTGTGATTGCAGAGATAAAGGTATTAAATACAGCTCAGCCCTTCTGGCACCAAAGAAGTGTTATCAGCAGGTGTGTGGCTGCATAGGTTGTATGCACATATACGTGCAGGGAAAGGCACATGTGAGCATGTGTGTGTGCAGGTACAGGCATCTGGTTATGTATGTTTATGCCCCCGCATATATGTTCAGATCTATAATAAACCACCGAAGGGGCACAGCTATGGATACCACCTACGCACAGCTAAACACCTTGGGGGACTGGCTTATTGGTTTTTGAAGTCTTGGGACCCTAGTTTCATAGGACAACTCAGTCAGCTGGTATAATTCACAACGCTCAACACTCATCTGATGAGTAGCAACTGGGTATGCCCAGCAGCTATCTAAGATACAACTGATGGCCTCTATTTTTCCATCACAAAAGAGAATGAAGGACAAAAAAGTCACTAGTAAAGAGAGGAATAATAGCCTACATGAACCACAGCCTCAAGGAGCCTTAGATCACAAGACCTAGATTGTGTCCTGCGACCTCTATAGACCTTTCAGACCTGGGACACAGTAGAAGGTCCTGGATAGAAAACTCAAAATTCATTACCACTGAAATGGAACAGATTTCTAGTTGATCCTCCACTGAATTCCTGAGGCCGCACACCACAAGGGAGGCGACTGCCCATTTTTCTCCAAGGAGCCATTGGTGGATTTGAACTGACAGAGAGGTGTAGCTTTTGGGTTAACAGCAACAATGTTGCTGTTGTGAGGTACCATTGAGTTGAGTACAACTCATAATGACCCTATGAACAACAGATCTGTACCCTGTCCCATCAGGCGCCATCCTCACAATCTCTTGACACACTTGATCCCACTGCTGCAGTCACTGTGTCAATCCTTCTGGCTGAGGGTCTTTGTCTTTCCACGTACTCCCATCTTTCTAAGCATGATGTCCTTCTCCAAGAAACAGCAACATGCCCAAAGTATACAAGACAAAGCTTCCCCAGTTAAGAGTAATGGTTACTATTTACCCTCAAAATAAAGATGAGACCCTAAGGCGGGGCAGGGAAAGTAGAATAATGGGTACAGAACAAAAAGAATTAAGAAGTGGTTGACACACTGTGAAAAATGTAACCAATCCCTGTTAAATCAGAACCTAATTTGTTATGTAAACTTTCACCTAAAACATAATAAAACACTTTTAAAAAGCTGTATTAATAAAGGGCAAGATCTTGCCTAGGTTAAATGCACATTATAAAAACCTGTTTTGTGGTCTCTGGCATAATCTTAAAAGCTCCACACCCTGAAAGCTACTTTGAAAGTCTTGTACTTTTCAACCTCCTTTGAAAAACATGATTACAAAACAAAAAATAATATTTTTTCCAGGCTTTCCTTTTATAATCTCTGACATCTCACACTGACAATGATGCTAATAATACTCTGTAATCCTGAAAGATGATTCCAGGTGCCAGAGATTTCTTAATCAAGAATATTTCTTCTTTATATTTACTTAAGTATAACAGCAAAACAAAAGCAAAATAAAAAGTCGATGACTGATAATCTAAACCTCACAAGGAGAAGCATCAGGGTAGGGAATTACCAGAGTGTATTAATTTATATGTGACAATGCACACTTGTGATTTGTGTACTTTTTCTGTAAGTACTTTTTTGGCTTTTGTAAAAAATCTGTAAAGGACAAGGATGAGTATAAGGATTTCAACTAATACTACATTATTAAAATTCTTTTGCCTTTTTACAAAAGTCAGCATATAAATGTGAAAGAAGCTACATTTTACCTTTAAAAAGCCCTTTCAGATATTAAAGAAATATTCAATAAAAGCTCATTATTCATGTCAGAAAAGAACTAGTTTAATTACAAATACGATTTAAGTATTTTAAAAAAACAGGAAATGGAAAAGTGCCAACTTTAGACTCAGGCCCAACTCTAAAACTACTTAGCCCTGTTGGGTAATCCACAGGGTTACAGTTTCACTCGTAGTGTTCACAGATAGTAGTTATCTGCTACCTACTATCCTGGGGAGTTGTAGGGGAAGACTTCAGTTATTATCATTTATCTAAGTGTCTCAATCATTTATCTGTCCATCTGGATTCCAAACGGCCACCACCAACCAGCTGAGTCAGCCAAGCTCTCTGGCCTCAGTTTCCTCCTTCATTAGAGGAGGAGGCTGAACCAGATCAGGTTTCAGGTTTGAAAGCGTGAATCCATTTTGGAAAATTAAGCCTAACACATGTGGAATACAGACATGGCATAAATTGTGACTTTGGTGAACGACCATGACAGAGGCTGCAAGAAAGCAATGTGCTGGGTTAAAGGTTTCCAACCTTTACTATATAAAAATTTCATATGAAAAGTCTAACAGCAACAAAATTGCTGCTCTGGTTGAAGGGAGAGTAAGGAAACCTGATCACTCGACTCCCCGTCTTCTGTCGCCCCCACCAGCTACATCTACATGCACACACTGACTCCTGTGAGCACAGACTGAAATCCAATAACCCGAAAGACTCCCAAGGTGCTCTGCAGGTCAACACCCATTTCGATCTTTCTTCCAGAGGATGTCTGAGACGCATCATGCAAAGAGCACTTTGTGGCACAGCAGTTCAGTGGCTGACTGCAAGCTGACATGGTAATAGTTCACGTGCACTAGGGGCTTTGTGGAGCAAAGATCCAGTGATGTACTCCTATCATTCCAAAGGTTACAGGCTCACTCCAACAGAGAAGATGCTAGGGGCTGAAATCCATTCAATACATACAACAAAAAGATGGCCTTACAGCGGAATACATCATAGTATTCTGCCATGAAGGATCCCTGGTGGCAGAGTCTATCACACCTTGGGTTGCTAATGAGTTCTCCATGAGACAAAGATGAGGCATCCTGTCATTAGAATTTACAGCCTGAGGAACGCAATGGGCGATGAGTCAAGAATCACCTCAACAGCAGGGAGTTTTGAGGTTGTTATGAAATGACCACTCTCCCTCAGTTTGCTATGGAAAACCAGTAGGATGCAGATTCAACAAAGTATAGAGCGGTGGCAGTGTTGACCCTACAGAGCCACTTGACCACGAGTCAAGGCGGTGACTCGTGGTCACTCAGTGCATTCACCTAGGACGAGGAGGCTGAAGAAGATGGTCATGCCACTTGACTGCTCCTCCTGCTGGGCTTGCTCCCCTGTCTGCACCGGGAGGATGGGCTTGGCGGGTGTTGGGAGCACCAGCTTCGTCGTGACGATGAGGGTGGTGTGGAGGGTGACATTGAGACCCTCCTGAGTTGTGTTGGGGAACCTGGGACAAAAAAAAAAGAAATATGTAAAGCAAGAAGGGCCCCAAGGTATTGACACACCTGAAACCAGAACCCGGCAAAGAGCATTGACTTTACTAAATCTTGCAGCCAACCCACAGGCTGCAGAGAGAACCTGGCTTGAGACACTTCCTGCTGGCTGTAACATGAGCACTCCAATGGCTGTCACAAAGGGCAAAGGGAATTAAGATCTTTGCAGAAATAAAATACTGCCTGCTTTCTGGGATTTAATGAGGACAATCAAGGGCTTCAATCTGAAGGGGTTTCCCCGGCCCCCAGTTAATGTTTATTTTTTCCCCTGGATTGTTCCACAAATTGAAGAAATCTCATGAACTTGCCCAACTATTGATGGCTGAAATGCTCTTCCCCCACCTTACTAAACCTTTCCGCTTTCAAAAGGCTCAAATATAACCTTGTCTCCACATTCCAGCACACCCCAGTTCATCTCCACCATTGCTCATGTTCCCTGCCTTGTGTAAGGACTGTGAATTATTGCAGTACTGACATAATGAAACTTTCATTGCGATTTTAACGGCTATTTCTTTAACACTAGTTTCAACCTGGGGATTAGCTAACACACATTCAGTTCTGTCAAGTCTATTCTAACCCATGGTGAGCCCAAGTGTCAGGGTAGGTGCTGCTCCATCAGATTTCCAATGCTGGGTCTGGGGAATGCAGACTGTCATACTTCTCTTCTAGAGTCTATAGGTAGAACTGAACCTCTAACCTTTTAGTCAGCAGTTGAGTACATTAATTATTAGTACCATTCTGCAACTGCAGCTCACGTACCAACGCTTACTTAATAGGCACAAAAACACCCTAAAGTGGGCGCTTTCTCTTACACATGAGTAGCACCTCCTTTCCTTTGCACCTGAGACCCCATGTCAACAGCACCATAGATTCTCAATAATTATGCTAAATAAAACTATTCCTAACTAGCTAAACACTTGCGATATTGTTAGGTGGAAGAGTTAAATATTAACTATGTGGTTACTCCTTATTTTTACATCTCTATTCAAAGGAGCTCTGGTGGCTTAGTGGTAAGGAATTGTGCCTTCACCCCAAAGATGTGGTTCGGATCTGTCGGCTGCTTTACAGAAGACGGGCAATCAACTCCCAAAAGATTTACTGTAAGGTCAGCTATGAGTTGGTCCCGAATGGATGGTACACAACAACGTGGATGGAAACTGACTAGCCAGGGTCCCTGCCGCCCTGCTCTTTCCTGTAGTTCACTCCCTACACTCCAGCCACGATGCCTTTCTTTCTGTCTCTCCAAAGCCCGACACCAGTTCCTGCTTCAGGCCATTTGCACTTGCTGTCTTCTCCTTCCATCCTTCTCGCGGGTCACTGAAGGGTCAGCTCGGCGTGTCACCTTCTTGCTCAGAGAGTGACTCCCCTGCCTCACCCCGCCAATATTCTATTTCCTTCAGCACAAGGCTTTGAAATCATCTGTCTTTAATTATTGGTCTTTTCCCCCCCACTAGATGACAGAACGTGAACTCCTGGGCCTCGCCTCCTACACCGCCTCCTTTGCTGTTAAGTGCCCAGGGCCTGGGATGAAGCAGAGACGCTCAGCAGTGAACTGGATGAAGAATAAAACTCAGTGCAGGGGACGGAACCGAAAACTGGTCGTTCAAGGGAGAGGGCGCTGGCTAAGCAGGAGGAAGCGGGAACCGAGCTAGGGAGACTGCAGGGAGAAGGCAACTCAGTAGCGAGCACATGAATGAAAACGTGGGACGTGACATTTGGCCTGCAGGTTTCGGATGACGGCACTTCAAGACGGTGCTGGGCGGCCGATGCCCGGTGACTCGGGGTCTGACCTCCAAGAGGCTGCAGGGCCCAGGTCCGCCCCTCCCACCCTCCTCGCAGGCGCCGGCCGGGGTCCAGCCAGGCCAATGGGCAAAACGAGCTCCGCCTTCTGGGGCCAGAGGGCGGCCGGAGGCGCTCGCTGTCACCCGCCAAGGCCCGGCCCTGCCGCCTCCGCCGCCCGGGAAAAGCCCACTCACTCCTCTTCCGCCATCTTCTCCCCCATCCGGCGCCGCCTGCGAAACCACCGAGTTCGGAGCCGCGGGGCTAGCAGGGCCCACCTTTGCTTCCGGCTTCCGCTGGCGGCGCGGGCATGCCTGCGCGAGGGGGCGGGGCCTCGGCCGTGCGTGGGAGGCCGTTCTGGCCCGCCGTCTCAGTGGCCTGCGGTGGGGGGGTGGGGGTGCGTGGGAGGACCCCATCGGAGGGCGTCGCGCAGGCGCGTTGGGGTTTGGCCATGTGAGCCTCTGTCCACCACCCTTTAAACCCACGTTCTGGTTTTTTACCCCACAAGGCGGGGACGTTTTAAGGGGAGGCTTCTGAGGTCAGTGTGAGTCATCAAAGACCCTCCGCCCAGAGCGCTCCGTCTTTAAGAATTATGGAGAGAAAGGACAGCACTGGGCACCAAGGACACCAGTCTAAACCTCCGAGAGGAATAACCACCTGGTTTTTAATCCCTTAATTCCATTCTCCCAACTGCTTTTAATCTCAACATGTCTTTGAGTCTGACACTAAAAGAAGTACTAAGGATCTAGGGATAGGTCATTTAATAATTTGTTCATTGATTCAAGAAATATTAGGCCTCTTTTTTTTTTTATTTCCATTCATTCATTCATTCATTCATTGTTGCACTTTTCTCCCCTCCCAACCCTCCACCCCCAGTACAATACCCTCTTGGAAAAGTAAAAGAAAAATTCTTTCGTTGTTTTACAAACCCTCCCCCCAGATCCACACCACTATGCAGCCTTTGTCATGACAATATTGTCGTTGTTGTTGTTATGTGCCATCGAGTCGCTTGCAACTCATAAGGACCCTATGTATAACAACCCTAAACTGCTCTATCCTATGCCAGTCTCACTGTCTCCAATACACCCATCCCGATGACCCCAGTCACTCAATCAATCCACCTCCTAGAGGGCCTTCCCCTCCTGCACTGTCCCTCCAACCTCCCAAGCATGATGTCCCTCTCCAAGGACCTGTCCCTCCTTACAACATGTCCAAAGTATATCAGAAGAAGCCTCAGAATCCTTGCCTCCAAGGAGCAGCCCGGTTTAACCCTCTCAAGGATGAATCTGTTTGTTTTCTTAGCAGTTCATGGTATATTCAATACTCTTCTCCGCACCACAGCTGTAACCACAAATCCCTTTTAAACAGTTTTCTCCCTCATCTTTTTCAGTGCAGTATACATTATTGAAACCATCTTTCTCAGTCTCCCCGCCCGCAACCCCGAGGTCAGTCCTGTTTTACAACAGTGGCACCATGCAGTATTTGTCCGTTTGTGACTGAGATACTTCACTCAGCATAATGTCCTCCAGGGTCACCCATTTTGAATAATATTGCATGAGTTACTTGTTTTTCAAAGTAGCGTAGTATTCCATTGTGTAAATATACCACAGCTTCTCTATCCATTCGTCTGTTGATGGTAGGCCTCTTGTGTGTGTTCACCACTCATGGTGGCTTGTGTGTGGCTGTGATACTAGCATCAGATCACTAATATTTGAAATTCTGCCTGTCTTGCAGACTAAGACACTAGGAAAAAAGGCCTGGTGAACTACTTCTGACAATTAGCCCATGAAAACCTTATGGGCCATAATAGATTTTGCCCTGACTTGCTTGTTTTCAGATCTTGTCATTAGGAGAGCACCAATGACTGGTGAAGTAGAGGACTAGAGTGAGGGCAAGAGAAACCTTGGTGGAATGAATTGACCTGTTGTTATGTGGCATCAAGTCGCCTACAACTTATCATGACACTATGGACAATAGCTCTAAATCCTGAGCTGTCCTGAGCCAGTCTCACTGACTCCGACACACCTAATCCCATTTCTTCAGTTATAATGTCAATTCTTCTCATCCAGGGTCTTCCTCTCCTGTGCTGTCCCTCCACGTTTTCAAGCATGATGTCCTTCTCCAAGGCCTGGTCCCTCCTGGTCATATGTCCAAAATATGTGAGAGGGAGCTTCAAAATCTTTGCCTCGAAGGAGAAACTCAGTTTCACCCTCTCCGAGACAGACCTATTTGTTCTCTACTCTTCTCCAGCACCACAACTCACAGGCAACAATTCTGTTATCCTTAGTCATTGTCCCACTCTCTGATGCATAGCATGTAATTGTGAAGACCATAGCCTTGCCATTTGTCGTGAGGACGACCCAGGACAAGGAAAGGTTTTGCTCTGTTGTGCCTAAGCTTTCCCTGAGTCACATTCAACTTGGTGGCAGTTCTCTATTATGTGCCCAGGAATGAGTGTCTGTCAGGTTTGACTTGTTCTTGGGGTTATAAAAGTCATCTCAGATTCAGAAATTCTATTGTTAAATGCCATCCAGCCAAGTATGTCTCACAGACACCCTATGAACAACAGACCTAAAACAACATGTCCTATACTGTGCCATCCTTATCATCTCAAATGTACTTGATCCCATTACAGTAGTCCCCGTGTCTTTCCTGTTAGACAGAAAAGAGTTGAGAGAGTGAGAAAACCTAGTCCCAAGAGATGGACAGGCCTTTATGGAGTGGTCTGAGTGCCACGTGACCACTTGCGGAGAGGATCAGAGTGGCACCTAGGCAGACAGGGACACTTTCTTTTTATAGTGGCTGTTAAGGAGATTTAGAAAGAGTGGTAGTTTGTTCTGGAATTTGGGAGCAGGGATTCTGTCAATGTTTGTCAGGCCCAGGGCCTTATCAGGTTCTGGTCCACTCCTCAGAGATAGACACTATTCTCAAGGAATGATCAGGCCTGGGGAAAACTGCGACATTCTTCCTCCAAGTCTGTCCTTGAATATTTTGTTATTTTTGTTGTTAAATGCCATCAAGTCCTTGACAAAATGCCATCAAGTCCTTCACAACCCATAGGGATCCTATGAAAAACAGATCTGAAGTCTGCTCTATCCTGTGCCGTCCTTAGTGTCCTCAACATATTTGAGTCCATTGCCAGGTGCTTTATCAATCCATCTCTTTGGGAGGTCTTCCTCTCTTTAGCTAACCCTCCACCTTTCCAAGCATGGTGTGCCACTCCAAGGAATATCATCTCCTAACTTGGACAGAAAGTGATGCTACCAGGTCAAAGGTGGGTGATTTTAATCTGTAGCCCTCAGGCCTGGTTTTAATTGTATTCGACCAAACACTCTTCTACCTGCATAGCACTGGTCTGTCGATTTGCTGTATAGTGATAACTCGTGGTTGCTATGATGTGACACTGTGACACTGATGAGTCAAATGTGATAATGGTTACCCATGGTGGATAGTGTTTGGTGGAGCTCGGATACAGGAGTGGTATCTACTTCCAAAATAGCTTGCCTCCGGAAACTCTATGAACTTGGAGAAATGACGAAAGCTATACAAGTGTTCAGGTCTTTCATTCATAAGGTAGCTATGGGTTGTCAACGACTCAATGGCACTTAACAACAAAAATAACAACAACTTGCTGAAAATATGTGACACGAAGCTTCACCATCTTTGCCTCCAGTGAACACTCTACATTCGCCAAGACATATGGAGGTCCATGGGGTATTTAGCCGTTTTCTCCAGCACCACAGCTCAAATGCATCAGTGCTTCTTCTGTCACCCTTTTTCATTGTCAAGCTTGCAGATGCATAGCAAGTGATTGGAAAGACTGTGGCTTGAATCAGCTATACCTTAGTCTTTACACTGGCATCATTGCTCCTCTATAGAGACCCTTTTATTAATCCATAAACAAGACAAAGACAAATCATCCTGAAACGAGGGAAACCATCAGACTGATGCTGAAAATGTTCCTCTGAATTAATACCATATTATTTACTCACTTGAAAACGAAGGTCATAGATGGTTCCAGTTACAATCCATCACTGTTGCAGGTGGGATTTCAGTAGTGGGCAAAAGACAGTGACTGAGTTCCCTACAAAAGGCTTACAGGACTGTTCAGGGGCTAACCACGCAGCCGCATAGTGGTCAGGGCATGAAGCCCTGAGCCACAGTCGCCAAGTCCCCAACTTTTAAGTTAGATAGCATGTGACTGTTTTTCACAAATCATTAAGGACATCTTCAGACAAGTCCTTTTTTTTTCCTCTGCAAGCCTGAGGACAAATTGTCCCTCCCTAGGCTAACTTGACAGACAGGAGGGGCCAGACCCAGGAGAAAGACTTCACGCTTGGTGAAGCAGAATGTTAGTGAAAGAGGGGAAGACCCTTAACTTAAAGGGCCTGAAACAGCGATAGTTGTGAAGACGGTCTGGCATTGGGCAGTGATTTGCTCTATTGGACACAGAGTTTCTATAAACTAGAACATACTCAAAGACATTCTACTCAGCTCACCCAGCCACATGGCTGATTTACAGGTCAGAAAGGACTCAGATGGCACCTGAATTTATAGCAATTGAAATGGAGTTGGGGTTCTTGCTATAAACGTCATTCAACCTTCCACAAACGAAGTGCTTCAGAACCGAGGCCCTAAAAACGGCCGAACAGGAAGGGACGAGCTGAGGTTGGGGGGGTGAGAAGGATCCTATCAGGAGCAGCTGCGATGCCTCAGGGCCAGAGTAATCCTTTACAGAGTGAGTCACTCTGCAAAAAAAACTCCAGCGGTTTGCATTTTTCAGTCAGATCAAAAAAAAGAGGGGAAAATCTCCAAGAAGTTACAGGATTCAACCCTGTTTCCTCAGACCCTCTGATCTCCTCCTGGTCATGTGTGTACGCACACAAACAAAACATACACACACACACCCCTCACTTCTTTGCTCACTTTCACACACACAATCTACTTCCACCTTTGCACTGACTGGTCCTTTTAAAGGGTACTCTGGTGGGTGAGGAGTTGTGTTGCCAGCCCAAGGGCATATGGTCCAAAATCCACCAGCTGCTCTGTGGGAGGAAGGCAGGCAGCCTCCTCCCAGGGATTTACAGCCTCTGAAGACCTACTGCAGCGTGAGGATGGTTTTTAAAAATCCTTTTGGAAAGCTTTGTTCCTATGACTTTCACCTTCCCCGCCTCTGGGTTTTTGTTTAACTTTGCTTGTTTATTAGATTATCCCTGACCTCCG